GAGAATTTTTTTTAAATTTTAAAATTTGCATTGGATGAGTATCCCACATGTGACATCCATGCTATCCAATCTGCTCCAAGGAAAGTGCTATAAAAGTGCAAGAGATATAGATTGATGAATATACCTACAAGTTGGTACAGTAACACTGTAGAAGAGGCTGTATATCACTACTGGTATATTCTGGATTATCTCATGCTGGTATGTTTTACATTACTATTAGCTATTGATTTATTCATGAAGTAAATTACATACTCAAAATACCTAGTGGCATGTCCAAAAACATATCTATTTATTGAGATGTATCACACACATCACATTCTATGCACTTATTTAAAATCTATACACATTGTAACTGCTTGTTCATTTATTTGGAATCAATATTTTGAAATATTAAGTTAAATATACAGAGCAAAATGTATTAAGATTATAATGCAAAACGACAATTGTATGTTTCAGAGTGCAGAGTATCTGAGAAGAATGTTCAACTTTTTAAACAGGGGAATTATTGTATAACATGTTGTAACTCTGGATTAACTTTGAAGGCTCCTTTGGTTTAATTCTACTTTCACTGTGTTCATTGTAAAGATTTCCAGGTTAATTTGAACTTTGGCTTGAAAATAATTTTAACAAAGTAATTTTCAATGGAAATTTAGGAATTAAACAAAAACAATCAAGGAAAACTGCTAAATTTGTTGATATTTAAATGTTTTTCATTTCTGAAATACATCAGAGTACAATAATTTATGTATTGTGCCACAGAACTGCCTCAGATAATTAGGGTCCCACAGTGGACTCCAAATGAACACTGGTTTATCTGAACTTATGTAGGACCGCAGTAGAGTGCTACGATTAACTTTCTCAGACAAGATTTGGAATGAATCTCAAGGGGAAAGTTTCTTGTTCTGGAACTCTAGCTGACGAATACACATGTAGGCATGGAGTAAGGATGGGATAGATTCCTCTGCAGTCAACTAAAACTGAAACATGCACCATTTCAACTCAAATGAAGATTGGACCTTGGACAGGATACCCAGACAGTGTTCCAGAATGGCATCCAAAGCAGCAGGAAATGCCTTCAGAGGAGAAAAGGGGCAAAGAAAAGAAACTTGGAAAATATGCCCAAGCAGTAAATGTTCTGCAGAAAAATCCACAGTTCAGCATGTGCTCTATGTCAGATTTGCTATTCTCAGCTGAGGACTGTGGACTTTTAGATTAGGCTTCAGAGCCTTGATCTTGTGAAAAAGACTTGTGAGCCAAGGTGACGTGTTCAATTGCTATGCAGAGGCTGGAAAGCATAAATGAATGTTAATATCAGAATTGGGTTCAGCTTTGATGACCTCCACTATGCACAAGCCTGTCAAGACTCACTGTCAAGAGCCATAAAACCACGAGCCAACAGTTTTAGAAGTGAGACAGAGAGAGAAGAAAAGTAATTTGCAATTTAAAAAATTATTACTAAATTTAGGCTAATCAGACTTTACGGAACTTGGACATTTGAGATGCTTCTATTACTTGTCCCAATATATGAGGGAGGCAGCAAAGTGGCACAGTGGTTAGCACTACTGCCTCACAGCGCTAGGACCTGAGTTTGATTCCAGCCTTGGGTGACTGTGTGGAGTTTTGCATGTTTTCCCTGCGTCAGCATGGGTTTCCAAAGTGTACCCTTGTTTCCTCCCAAAGTCCAAAGGTGTGCAAGTTAAATGGAAATAGCCGTGCTAAATTATCCCACAGTGTCCAGGCTTGTGCAAGCTAGGTGAATTAGCCTTTGGAAATATTAGGATAGGGAGGGGTGGGGTTCCGGGTGGGATGATGTTCAGAGAGTTGATGCAGACTCGATGGGTTGAGTGGCCTCTATCTGCATTGTAGGGATTCTGTGTGAGATGGCAAATGTCTAGCTAACAATAGGCAATTATATGATCTGCTAATACCTGCATTTACAATGGATTATCCATATTAAGTTATATTACTTTAGAGATATACAAATTGAATTAAACTCAAGGAAGTAATTTGCATAATATATATCACTAATCTTCACCACAATTGATTTTAAATTTTTAAAGAGTCATCAAATTATTTAATATATAAGATAACACTGCTTGTTGGCATTTCAAAACCTGTTTTATTATTAACATGGCAGCAAGTAGATTTTGGCTGAGACGTGTGCATTTTATCCATGATCGAGAAAAGATTTGACCCTTGAAGGGGTGTTGTAATTCTCAGTAAGACTGAAGCATACACTGTTGAATAAAGCCTATCTGGAAGCAGAAGAGACTTCTACTAGCAGCACCTATTTTCCCTGACTAGTGCCTTCTACTAACCTAGCCTAATGATTTAACACCATCCTCCACATGGCATTCCCTTGAAATGGTGCTAACTGGGACAGCTGCCTTAGAAGTCAGCCAGGATCTTGGGGTCAACCCATCCACTTGACTTCCAGGGGATGGAATACAGTAATAATCCATGCAGAGCAGGATGAAGGAAATTGGAAATGGTATTCTGAGACAGCAATAGGCTTTTCCCTCTTTCTTTTGTCAACACGCCACCCTGTTTGGAGCCAATTCATCAAGGAGGAACTTGGAAATGCATCTGCTAGCTGCCCATGTGTAAGAGCTGAAAGCAAACAAGTGTACATCAATTTTTTTTTAAGAATAACCAAGTGTAAGAAAAGCATAGGCAGTTCTTGTTAGTTTCTTCAGTTACCTTTGGATATGTGGTATCACTGCCAAATCGAAAAGGAATATTGCGTCTATTATTCTATGTTAATAAAAGTAAAGCTCTAAAAGTCTATCCTGCTGTCATTCAATTAATATTTACCTGATCTTCAATCCATCTCTTCTTAAAGGTGGTAGTTTTGTGTCAAATGTGCCTTGATCCTTCAAATTACTTTTGTTTAAATTAACAAAGCTATGTGGTTCAATTTTATGTTTGTAATATAGTTAAAGAAGTGCTAGATATGAGAGAGTATAAACAGAAGTAACATTGGCATAACCTACACTGGATGGTAGGCTGACAACAAGCTTATAGTTTCAGTTATCAGAGATCCCTTGATTTCTGATCATCTTTTGGAGGTGACATTCGATGGTGTGAGAGCACTGTTTCTTCCCCATGAAGAGGCAGAATCAAAAAATCAGAAAACAACAGAGAATCAGTGAAATTAATCAACATGGGATCTTCATATACTTAATCAGAGCTCAAAGACGAAGTTAAGAAACTGGGAAATTGGATGTAATTATGTTGCCTACCACAAAATGGATGGAAAAACTTAAATAACAAGCAGCAATATTACTTCATGGGAAATATTAGAAAGACGTGGGGAGTGTAGAAAGACTTAGAATGGTGAAAAATACACAGGATTTATTTGGGTCAGATGCAAACAGTGTTTCAGTGTGTCTATGTTCTGTTGTTTACAGGTATCTGACTGATAAACAGAGATGCTGTCCCCTATCTTTTCACTGATTGCCTTTACAATTATCAAAGGGATCAGTTCTCAAAACATTTTGATTCATGACCAAGATTGTGGATCAACCTATCGGCTTCCAGGTAATCTCATATCAATGACAGATTTATAATCCTACAACTATAAAATACTAATGAAGAAGCATAACCAATGCAAACACTTTTCTCACCAGAGAAATGAACCTATTCTTGCCATGATGTGTGAGAAATCCTTTCATGTGGCTTAGATTTTTACCCTTAGTGCTAATCTGATTAAGTAATAATTGTATTTCACACATTTTGAATTCAACTGTGTGCTATAATTGGCTATAACTAGCAATCCTCGGCTCTATGAGTAATCAATGCTGGATAGTTTTGTGTGTGGTCAGAACAGGGTCTTCAGTACGATGCTTTTGCAGGAATCGGTGACATCCTGTGCCAATATAAACAATGGCAATTTCTGGTCAATATCAAAATTTTAATTGGCATCTGTAGAACTGTGCATCAGAAAGAATTAACATCTTCAAGAGAGAAGCACAGAAAAGGACAAGAAAATGATAAACACAAGCTTTTCAAATGCTATTTGTTTGTGCTGCTTGGACCTGAATTTAGCAAGTGATTTGGTAGCTGGCTTTGAGTGTTGCACAAATGAATCAACATGTGTACATGAGACAAAAGTAACTGAATTACTGCCTGAGTAATCAAATAAGCGATTGTCAGGTATTCAGGCTTGTATAATCTATCAACCAGTTTCACTCTGAGCCCTCACCTACACATAAGTACTGCTTACTCATTATGAGTAATTGATGAGCATCAATTTGATGTTGACTAGTATAATTACAATGATTAGGAATTCAGAGACATTTTAAGATTATCATTTTGGAAGAATGTCGGGATTTTGATAAACTATAAAAGTCAGCAAGGTTTTCAAAGGGTTTCTTCTAGATCTCCCATTGTAAATTTTTTTTTCACCAAAATCCACAAAAAAAAACAAATTTTCCAGAGATTCAACTTATCTTTCACCAAAGTAACAGTTAGAAGTTGGGAAGAAGCAGCATCAAAATGTGACCCAGGTTTTCTATTCAAATATAAATCTATGTTACTATAATAAATATAATATTCTAAGCAATACATGTGGCAAGCAGTTCAAAACATTCATCTAACATGCCACTTGTTGACTGTTCTAATCCTGATGTTACTTTGTTTCATAAAAATGTGTTAAACAATAGTTCTATTAAAACTGTAGAAAATAAGGGACAATGTTAGCCCAATTTACATATGGAAATTTGAAATCAAAGCAGAAATTTCTGGAGAAACGCAGTCGATCTGGCAACATTTGTGAAGAGAAAGCAGAATTAACCATTCAAGTCCAGTGATCCTTCTTCAGGTTTCTGCAGCAACTTCTGTTTTTGTTTCAGATTTCCAGCATCTGCACTGCTTTATATGGAAATTGCTTGTCACGCGGTTAAAATAGACATACAAAAAGTTAGCACACTTTCCTGTTTAATTCTTGCTGCTGCCATTCTTAACAAGACTATTTTTAGGTAGCTGAGTGCCTTTTCAACATGGCCAGGAAGGATCTGGGTAAGTCTGGGTTTCTCCTTCTTAATAGAATATAATCTCAAACAATAAAGTAAAAATATCAAATTGAAAGCTATTCTCAGGAATAGTGACCATGAAACTATCATCTGTTGTCTTAAAAGCCTACCTGGTTGTTTCCTTCAGGGAAGGAAATCTGCCATCTTTAACTAGATTGGCCTACACATGGCTCCAGACTAACTGGTTGACTCTTAATTGCTTGTTGAAGTAGTAAGCCATTCGTTGAAGGACAATTAGGATGGGTGACAAGTGCTGGCTTTCCTTGCCAGCAGCACCCATAAAAGAATATAGAAAAAACAAAAGACCCTACAACTTCCTTACTACTGATGGACAGCTCTTAGGTTCTATTATTTTAATCTATTCAAAGCTGGCCAGCTCAATCTGAGCTGCCCTTCCTTTTAGGTCAACCCTTCCTTTTAGGTCAACCATTCCTTTTAGGTCAATCCAGCTCACCACCACCTTGTCAAGGGCAACTAGGAATGGGCAAGAAATGCTGGCCAGCCAGCGACACCCACATCCCACAAATGAATAGAAAAAAAACACTAAACCAATATGAGGCAAATGGTGCCAAAAGGTAATGTAGCTCAGGTCTCAAATTGATGATATCTGATGAGATTGACACTATGTCAAAAACATTCTCTGAGTTAAAATCCATTTTACCCAATAGATGCAAGCCATAATACCAGAAATAGTAATATTTAGGCTACAGTCAAATACTGCAAACATTTTCAATCATAATAGAATAAGCTATATCATTTTTCTTGACAGATAACAATGACATCAAGGTGACCTGTGGAACCCAAAATGTGCAACTATCAATCTTTTTGTGCCCATTTTACTTTGCTGGCTACAATGAGAGCCTTGTGGCTTTAAACCGTCAATTCAATGACCCCAGATGTCAGGGAACAGTTGATGCATCCGTTTCTCCTCCTGTTCTCAAGTTTACATTTCCCATCAGTGACGTCAACTCTACTTTCTGTGGAAACAAGCTGGTGGTATGTCAAGCATAGCTACCTGAAGGATCAAGTTGACTATGCACATTGCTATTTAGTACAAATATATAGAAATTAAACTTGATGCATAATTGCTCACGTCATGAAGTTCCACAAAAACTGATGTTGATTGAGAAAACTGTAAAGTGATTATCTTGTAAGAAGTGAGATCGTACCTTGACTGGTTTACATAGTTGTGTGGTCCACATTCTTCGCTCCCAAGAGCAACATTATTTGCAATCCTATTGAGGACCACGGTCTCAACAAATGATTAGCTCAATTCTAAAGCATGAAGTAATGGGTTACATAGTCGGTATCTGTGGTTTTTCAAACTGTGAGGTTGTTGTTTTAATCATATCAATGTGAGTGACTGTCAAGTGGAGGCTAAGCAGTTTCTCACATGTACAGGAACATATAACTAAAAGAAGAACAATTCAGGTAGGCTCACTCCCCTTGCTTAATGGAATCTACAATGATTCTGCCCTTTGACAGCATGCTGGATTGCCTTGGCTTTTAGTTGAAGAGCAATATCAACAGAGAATATTACTTTTAGTGGGCTAGCGTGGTTTTTCAGCTAAAAACCTCTTATGATTGTATTAAAAGCTCTAAAGGTATCCAGGCACATAAATGCTGAACATAGACATAAAAAAAAAGTAAATCTAAAGATAGTTGTGAAATATCTCCACAAAAGCCAGTATCCCATCAGCAAGTCACCATTTGTTTACACATGCATAGTACAAGACGCTGATCCAGCTAGTTCAGAGCCATCTCCCAAAGTGAGCAGAACCCCTGGCACTGCTATTTATATCTGTCAGCCAGGGCTCCCTGATTGGACCAGTTTAACTGGTCCCAATCAGGGAACTCATATTCTATGAGATCCACCTGGCTGACCTTGTTACAATCACTACAATATGATATGCCCCATTTGGAACTCACAGGGGCAGTGAAATCAATGGAGATATAATTAACATTATGTGGTGAGCCAAAAAGTTATGTGAAAGGGCCTGACAATAGCAAACACAAAGTATAAAATACTACAGATAGATAATGAGCATCCTCCAATATATGGTGCTGAAATAGCTGTGGATAAAGTAGACTTACAGTTAAACACAAACAATCAATAATAAATAGCAAAAAGCAATCTGAATACTAGTCAGGTGAAATTATTTTCAAACTATACATTAATCTGTTCAGATCACATCTAGAGTATTACATCCATCGCTGCCAAGAAACAAGTTTTTCCTGCACTGCAAGCAGTATAGAGAGGAGCCTCAAAGCTTACCTCCACCGTCAGGGGAATTTGGGATAAAGGAAGATTGGAGGTATTTGGAGTTTCAGGTTGAAAAGGAGGTATCCCAGAAGTGATTTTTTTTAGAGGCAAATAAGGCAATTAATCATTAGGAAAATGTTAATACAGAATAATAACTTTAAATGAATCTGTACAGATTGAGGGCACATTTTGAAACTAGCAACATGTAACTTTAGGATTGGAAACAAGAAAGGTTTCTTCACACAAAATGGACACATGGACAGAGTAATAGAAATATTTAAGAAACAAGTTATATGTAGTACTAAAAGGATTGTGGTGTTGTTCTCAATGTGTTAAATATCCTCACAATAACAATTTTACTGTGTTTTGAACACTGAATCCCAGAGCGGTTGCTATCATCATCTGGATAATTGTCTGGGAGTCTCTGTAATAAAACAGGAGCAAAGTTTTGTCATGCCATGTTATGAATACTACTGCCTAAGAACATGATAGAACCCCTACAGTGTGGAAACAGGCCATTTGGCCCAACAAGTCCACACTGACCCTCTGAACAGCATCCCACCCAGACTCATTCCCCTTGTCTAACCCAAACATCCCTAGGCACTATGGGCAATTTAGCACAGCCAAACCACCTAGCATGCACACCTTTTGACTGTGGGAGGAAACCAGAGCACCTGGAGGAAACCCACGCAGACACGGGCTGAACGTGCAAACTCCACACAGACAGTCACCCAAGGGTGGAATAGAACCCGGGTCCCTGGCGCTGTGAAGCAGCAGTGCTAACCACTGAGCCACCATGCTGCCCCTGTTTCAGTATTGAATATCTTTCAAACATTAATCATTTTATTTTGATATTTATATGCATTTTTTTCTACGTACAGATCACCAATGCTCCAGGAACGGGTGCTTTTAAAGAATTTTCAAACATCCAGTTTGCCAATATCAGCGGTATGATAGAAACAAATGACCCAGTAATAAATGTCATAACGTATAACCAGGAGCTGGTGTATTTGTATTCCTGCTCCTACCCTTTGGAGTATATTATTAATGATACTAGAGTGGATGTGTAAGTGAAGATTTTCTTTCTTGTTTATTTAGGTGAATCTGTTTTAAAATAGGATTTTTAGATAGCTGAGAAAGTTGTCTAATCGTTTGAAAGTTAACAGGTCCCTTTACAAAACATGTGATTGAATTTTAATTTTGTTACTTATTTTGCTTGATGGTTTTTATAGTGCTGCGTGTAATATTTTCTGACGTATCAATGAAAATTGCAGATTTTCATCTTCCCTATAAACCCTCCAGCCCAGAGCAAATGTCATCAGGTAGGGATTAAGATGGTGGAGGTTGTACCAAATTCTTGCCTAACTGCACCATAACTTACCTGTGATCAGGTAAGGGTCAGGAAGGGCATTTCCCTACTAGGCAGGATCCTACTTTACACTGAGAAGTAATTTCCCAATATGTCGTATTTATTCACTAGATCATGATCAACAACAGTACCCCGGACCGAATTCACATTTCTCTCGAGCAGTATGGCAAATTGCATTGGAATCAGCATCCCTGCTGATGTACTACAGTCCAATTTTATATACCTCCTTTTCTGTTCTCATTTTTAGCATCTCAACTCTATAAATGGAGAATATACAGTGGGATTCAAAAGATCCAGAACAGTCAATTTTCCATTTTGACAATGGAGTAATGTATGTGAATTTGAACCACTTAGTCAATTGTGTTGATTTTCACTGTTATGTTATTACAGGTTCCAATGTGATAGGTATAGTAAATGGATTGGTCAGTATAAGGAGTATTTTAGAGCAATTTATCATTATGATTTTATAGTGATTGACCTGTGTAATTGGATTTACAGGGCAGGAGTAAGTATAGCCATCAATGATAGGAATGGCACCTTCAGGAGCACGCTCACTCTTCAGCTTTACAGTGTAAGTTAACCAACTCTTCTGTGTCGTCAGTAAAAAATCAAAGTTGCAAAATTTCATCAAAACTTAATCACAATTAATGAATAAATATCTGACCTTCAAACCTTCAGGCTTGTATATGTCTTAAACATATTGCAATGAAAATATCTGAAGCAGAATTTGAAGATATTCTTGCAACTGGGTAATGAGGAGGTGAATCGGTTCCCCATCTTTTAACTGCACCCCTCCCCCTGCCCCTTGTTGGGCTTTTAATTATTTTTAGCATTTCATATCTCAATTAAAATATAGTACTAGTCAAAATTTAGAAGCCACAAAAAGGTTTCCTTGTGTGAAGAAAAGAGAAATTTTATTACATATTAAACACAAGAAAAACAATAAAACACAACATCAAAGATACACACACAAACACAAGTATAAAGTTTAAAAAGTCCAGAATGTTTTGTAGAAAAAAGTAGATCAAAAATAGGCAACTTAAAAAGTTCTGAAGTCCAGACACAGGGAGAATGTGCAAGCTCCACACAGGCAGTCGCCCAAGGGTGGAATAAAACGAGGCTTCTTCATGCTGTGAGGCAACAGTGCTAACAAACTGAGCCACAATGCCACTCTTGTCATTACTGTTCAAAAGTCAAGACCACTTGGGCAACTAGACCTGTTCAACTGCACCTCAACAAATGGCTGCCTCATCACATGGCCCTCTCCAGCAGCTCCACTACCTTTCCTGGGACCAGGAGGCTGTGCGTTGAGGCTGGGTCTGCTGCTTCTACAAGCCACCCCCTCGCCCAGATTCCTGTGGCGTGGAGATAACCAGGCATGGCCTCCTGCTTCTGGGAAGTGTAGCGTAGTAGCTGGAGATTAGTGGTAAACCAGTGGATTGGGAACATTTCAAAAGCCAACAAATGATGACCAAAAGAAAGGGAGAAAATAAACTTTCAATTAATATCAAGAATGACAACAAGAACTTCTTTAAATACCTAACAAGGAAGAGAGAAGCCAAAGTGAACAAAGGCCCTTTGGATAATGAGGCCGTGGAAATAATAATGGGCAAACAGGAAATAGCAGCTAAGTTGAATAAAGACATTGCATCAGCATTCACAGTAGAAAACACCAATTAGCATTCCAAAATTACTAAGTATACAAGGGGCTATTGGAGGAGAGGAAATTAATACGATAAATGCCATTTGAGAAAACGTGCTAGGGAAAATAACAGGACAAAAGACTGATAGGTCCCCTGGACCTGAAGGGATGCTGCATAGGACACTGAATGAAGTAGCTACAGAGATAGTGGACTCACTGGTACTAGACTTCCAGAAATCCTTCGATTCTGGAAAAGTCTCAGGGTCTCAGGAAACTGCCATGCAACGACTTTATTTAAAAAGGGAAGACGACGAAAAACAGGTAACTATAGGCCAGTCAGCTTAATGTATGTTATTGGGAAAATGTTAAAGTCTATTCTAAAGAACTAGCAGAGTATTTAGAAATGTATAATATGACGAAGCAGAGTCAGCATAGCTTCATGATGGGGAAGTCACGCCAGAGAAATTTGCTAAATTTTGCTAAATAGATAAAGGATAAACAGTGTAAGTAATATCTTTATATTTTCAAGAGGTGTTTGATAAGGTACCACACATTAGTGCCATTTAAAAAGATAAAAGACAATGGTGTTGGAGGTAGCATATTAGCATGATGGATTGGCTAAGAAAAGACAGAGTTGGAATAACAAGGGCATTTTCAGAATGGGAGCCTGTAACTAATAGAGTACCACAGGGATCAGTGCTTTGGTCACAATATATATTAGTGATTTGGATGAGGAACGTGACTGTTCAATAGCCAAATTTAGGAATGACACAAAAATAGACAGGAGGGCAATTAGTGAGGATGACACAGAGTCCACAAAAGCAATATAGACGGGTTAAGTAAGTGGACAAATACTTGACAGATGGAATAAATTTCTGGGGAAATGTAAGGTTATGCACCTTGGCAGGAAGAATAGAGGGGCTGAATATTATTTAAATGTAGAAAGATTGGCAGAAAGCCACAGGCCAGAGAGATTTTGTTCATGAATCGCAAAAAAAAATCTAAGTTATAATAGGGAATAGGGAATAGGGAAGTAAATGGAATGTTGACCTTTATTTCAAAGGGAATGAAATATAAAATTCAGGAGGTTTTACTAAAACTCTGCAAGGTACTAGTCAGACCACAGCTGGAATACTGTGAACAGCTTTGGACCTCTTATCTAAGGAAAGATATACTGTCATTGGAGGCAATCCAAAGAAGATTCATTAGGCTGCTACCAGGCATAGGAGGAGAAATTGAATAGTTTGGGCTTTTACTCATTGGATTATAGAAGAATGAGAAGCAATCTTATTGAAACACACAAGATATTTAGAGGACTTGTCAAGGTAGACAAAGGAAGCTTATTTGCCCTTGTGGGAGAGACTATGGTCTCTTGTCCTGGCATCTCAATACAGGGCTGTTGAGCTCGGGTCATTATGTTTAAGGCTAAGATAGACAGGTTTTTAATCAGTAAGGGAATCAAGGATTATGGAGCAAAGGCAGGAAAGTGGAATTGAGAACTATCAGTTCAGCTATGATCTCACTGAATGATGGAACAGAGTAGATGGACTGAATAGCCTACTTCTGATCTTACATCTTATGGTCTCATGGTCTTAAAATGACTGCAAATCTCCCACTGAAATTTAAATTACCTTGCATCAAAAAATGTTTGTTTTGGTAAATTCTTCCTTAGCAATCGCTCTGAAAATAATTTAGATGTATGTATAATGTAATTTTAACTCTCATATTTAATTGCGAATATTTCTTCTCATATTTCCTGCAATATCTATCTTCAAAATTTAGCAGTAATGATGATGTGTTGTTGTTGCTCACCAGTGACATCAGCAGCACGTGTTCTGATATTTCTGTAGCCATCTGTATCTGGATGACATCATGGCTCACATCTGAACATGTGCAAGAATCATACTTTGTTCTAGTAATCATTACATTCCACTGGATATTTTCTCAGAGATGCTGAGAGAAACAGGGAGGGAGAGAAAGATAGGGAGAGTTTTGAGCTCTGTTATTACAAATCCATTTTCCTTTTCAGTCTGCTAAAATGTTATATGCTTGAAATACATTTCACATGTATATTCCTCTATCTGGTTTCATTGTTTTTTATTCAAGCTGAATAATCTGCAGTCAACTTTCATTCCAATAATTAAATTTCCAGAAAGTATGGGTCAACTGGGTCATTCAGATCTGATTCTCGATGCCTTTTCTTATTATAAAGTTAATTTAGGCTCAGACTGATTTTTGTTTATTGATGGCTTCATGTGTTTGGTTCAACCTGGTCAGCGGACCCATGTGGCCATCTTTCACCAGTGTTTTTAACAATCACTTTTGTCCATGAAAGGTCCCAGATATTAAAATCAGATGTTGGAACTTAGAAATGGATAGTCTATCTTTAGCACTGTTGTAGCAATATGGATGCAGATTTTCATGTTTCTGTGCTCTGGTTTATTTAATTCTGCCTGACTTTTCTCTGTTAATATAATTAAAATCTTTAGAAAATTGAACAAGTTCCATCATGGAAGAAAACCTGACGATCAAAATGATTATATGAGCATAAATTGTTGAAGATAATAGAGCAGTTTGAGGAAGTGATTAAAAGATTCTCGGGCTTTAAGGCTTTAAGCATAGAATCATAGAAAGCAACAGCAAGGACATTATATGAAACTTGAAATAATGTTGCTTCAACTTCCACTCCCAACACCTCCACGTGCCACCTTCCCATGCAATTGCAGAAGGTGTAACACTTACCCATTTACTTCCTCCTTCCTCACCATCCAAGGCCCCAAACACAGATTCCAGGTGAAGTAACAATTTATCTCCACTTTAGTCAACTCAGTCTACCGTATTTACTGCTCACAATGTGGTCTCCTCTACATTGGGGAAATGAAACCCAGACTGAGTAATCACTTTGCAGAACACCTACATCCAGTTGCCTGCTTTAAGACACCAACATGTCCCCTGGCCAACATTTCTGTCTCGGGCTAGCTGCAGTGCTGCAGTGAAGCTCAGCACAAACTAGAACAGCACCTCATTTTCCGTTTGGAGACCCTACAGCCTTCCAGACTCAATATCAAGTTCAATCATTTTAGGGCCTGAGCAATTTCTATTATTTCCTTTATAAACGCTAACAACCCAGGCCCTGTCATCACATACGCTGCTTTCAGCACAGCCACCCATTTTCATCTACTTATGGTCCCCATTAGCAGCTTTCCTTTCTCACTGGCTTACAATTATCCATCCCTTTGCCTGCTTAAGTGTCTTTCTCTCCCTCTGGGCTCCATCTCTACCTATTACTTACTCCTTTACACACCCCTTCCCAACCCATCTTCAACATATATAGCACCTTTTCTTAGCCACTAATTATTCTGAAGAAGTATCACTGAACCCAAGATGTTAACTGTGCTTTCTCTTCATTGATGCTGTGAGATTTTCTCCAGCAATTTCTGTTTTTGTTTCATACAGCAGATGCTGATTTTCAATGAAATGTTTAATTGCCTGATTTTTAACCCCTAATACCCAATGTAAGAAATGGGTGGTTAAAATAAAGTCATTCCCCTCTGCAAGTAATGCACTCATGCTCACATGTTTCAGGTTTACATGGCTGCCCTGTACCAGTGTTCTGCTGTGCAAGATGCAGAACAGGCTCAAGGGATTGAATGGTCAATTCCTGTTCCTATGTTCCTATGTTGCTCCTACCCACAGGCCTATCAACTCCTACTAGATTTAGCAGAAGATTCACCAGCAAATGGAAATATAACCCTGGAGTTTGAAATGATCCAGGTCTCACCATCATAAATTGCTGAGCTTGATATATCCCCTAGTGGCCCAACAAAAAAAACATGCCTGAAGTTGAAATCGCCATTTGAGGTCAAACGTAATAGATCTGAGGGGAACAATATTAAGACAGAAAAAAGAGATTCAAAATGAAGGGTACTTTTCTGCACGAAGAGGAAAGGAGATGAAGCAAAGAAGTAATCCTGCATAATGGTGGTGAGATTAGGTAAGAGACCAAGATGAACCTAGGTGTGATTTTTCAAAATCAAAATGGCAAAGGACAAAGGAGATGGTGTAAATGCAGCAAATAGGCATCTAGATGAATGTGGAATCAGACTAAAGAGAAATCAAGTTGGATGTGGTTTTCAATTAAGTCGTGATTGAATTATTTTCAGATTTAGAATACAAAAATTGTTGAAAGATCAGACTACTGTACAAAAATATTACGAGTATCATGTCAAAAGTGTGATAAAACTGCATTGTTTTCAGGATGCAGAATACACAAATTCCTTGATCATCCCAGAATCAGGACTCACCTTGAAAACCAAGATTTATGTAGAAGTAAGAGCTACCAAGTTAACTGACAAGTAAGATTTATTCTTTTTGTTATGACTGAAAAATTCAGATCACCTTTACAATAACAATAAGCCAATGCCTTACTTCACAAGGGATCACTACCCCAATAAGTGCCACATGCGAGTTAGTGCAGACTGGTGATAAGTTAAAGATTAAATATTGTTCTGATTTAATTAATTTTAATGCTTGAGCTGAAGTGTCTTTCTTAAAGTAGAAACATTGAACAGAAAAACAGCATAATTTGATAACTATTGAGTCCATGCTGGGAAAATCTAAATCTCATTGAGTGTAATTTTGACTTTGGTTGATAGCACAAATTAATGATATTGATTCAGTGTCCTTTAAAAATCTCTGCAGATTTTCATTTCCCAGGGTGGGATATGGAGTGACCCTAGAAAAGCACATAAATGTAATTCAATTCCTACCACAGACAAACCTGTACAACCAAAAAAAAAAGTGTTGGCCAGCCAACCTTCACATTTCCAGTGCACTAGTTATTTTGGGGGGTCTCTTATAGTATGCTGGTAATATCCCTACTTCTGAGCCAGAGGGCCTGTGCTCAAGTCCCATCTGCTTCAGAGGTGTATAATAACACCCCTGAGCAGATTGAAGAGAAAATAACTAGACACTACTGAGGAAAATAAGTGATTTACTTGGTGTCAGGAAAGTACAAAATTCAGGGGAAATTTAAAAATAGTCAAATAGAAAAGAAAGACATAATTTGCTCTTTATAAAAATAGTCGTCCATTTCTTCATATTTATTGTAAATTATTTTCTACCACTCAGGTTCAACGTCCTTCTTGATCACTGCTATACTTCAACCTCACGTTTTCATTTAAATTCTTCACTAACTTATGATCTCTTCATTGGGTGAGTATCCCAAATATAATAGCCCTTAATAGCTTTCAGTCCAATTTAATTTCTTTCCATTAGGTTACTCACTTTTTTTTCAAATGTGACTCCTATATTTCTTGAAACTCTAATGTTGAACAATTAGATGTAGATATGGGATCAGACCTGTAAAATAAGTTTGCCATGTGTCACTCTCAAATACTTTGATCTGAACAGAAAAGCATAAGAACCAAAAATAGCTTCTTCAGTCTGTCTTGCAGAGATAACAAGTAGATATTAAACCTTGGAACAAGCTCTCAACTTTTGATATCTGCTGTAAATAATATCTATTATAGGTAGCTCAAGGAAATCATGTGAAATTCTAGGGCAGTGTAAAAGGCTTGAAATCTTGCCTCTATTGCACTCAATCTCTTTTATGTCCCTTTCACAATTAGGAGCTGAGCATTCCTCAGGCACATTGAAGAGGAATATCAGTGATGATCATTGTGATATTTCAAAGGTTGCTTCGAGCTTGTCCAAAAGTCTGTTGAACGTATCCTGTCCAATACTATGTATTTACCCACCGTCACTATCGTCACTGGCTTATATCACCTCTGTGTTTATCACAAATTGAATTTGAAATCAGCAATTTTATATTTAAATCCTTAGCTGCCATATTTCAATCTGTCTCTACTACTGATCATTATCAGCATTTATTTTTTTCTTTATTCATTAACGGGATGAGGGCATCTCTGGCTAGGCAGCATTATTTATTGCCCATCCCTAATTGCCCAGTGGGCAGTTCAGAGTCAACAAATGGCTGTGGGTCTGGAGTCACATATAGGCCAGGCCAGGCAAGGATGGCAGTTTCCTTCCCTAAAGGACATTAGTGAACCAAATGGGTTTTTCTGATAATTGACAATGGATTCATGGTCATCATTAGATTCTTAATTCCAGATATTTTATTGAATTTAAATTCCACCATCTGCCGTGGCAGGATTTGAACCTGGGTCTTCAGAATGTTATCTGCATCTCTGGATTAACAGTCCAGCGATGATGCCACTAGGCTATCGCCTCTTCCTATTTATACACTAGAAGTTCATTTTGAGTGGTGGTGCAAGACACTTGGTCTTAGATTGTTTACCCATTTACTTCATTCCATTGACATCTGATGAATTTCTAGCCTTATATCCTTTAGGCATCACTCAGTCTTACAATTATGGTTTTATGTTAGCCTGCTTGCTGTCTGTGCCACTATTGATGGCAAAGCCTTCCTACAGTCTACATATCAAACCTTTTCATTTACCTCTCCACATTTAAAAACCATCTCAAAATACAACTCTCAACCAAGCTTTTGGGTACCTCTGCTAACTTAATGATTTTATCTGTCTTATCCCTCAGTGGGGAGATGATGTCCCAGTGGTACGGTCATTGGACTAGTAATCCACTGGAGACCCTAGTAAAGTTCTGCGGACCTGGGTTTGAATTCACCCATAGTGGACCTTGAATTCAATAAAAAGTCTGGAATTTAAAGTTTAAGCTAAGATCTAACCTATTTAATGTAACCATTTTTTATTGCACGGAAAAACGAATCTGGTTCACTAATACCCTTTAGGGAGACCACAATGTGGACGTGCCAGTGTTGGTCTGGGGTAGACAAGGTTAAAAATCAGACGACACCAGGTTATTGTCCAAAAGGTTTATTTGAAATCACAAGCTTTCGGATCGTTGACCTTTCATCAGGTGCAATGCTCCAAAAGCCTATGGTTTCAAATAAACATTTTGGACTAAAACCTGATGTTATTTGACTTCTGACCCTTTAGGGAAGATTATTGCTATCTGTAGCTGCTCCAGCCTGTGTGTGACTCCACACCCACAGCAGACACAGGGACAATGTGCAAACTCCACACAGACAGTCACTCAATGCTGGAATCAAACCCAGGTCCTAGCGTTGTGAGGCAGCAGTGCTAACCACTATGCCACCCTGAACATATTGTTCATAGGTTTTGTCTACTTTCCTGATCCAAACTGCAAAACTGGTGGAGGTCATCCAGATAGGCTTGTTGCCTCACACAGTGTGGGACCTTTCTGTGGATTGCCATCTTGCTGTGATGGAGAGGTTTGAGTGTTCCATTGATCCTGAGAGTGATGCAGTCAGGAGTTCTCAACTTCTGGCAGGGCCATCCATATTGGTAAGGTCAGAGGGAAAGAACCAGACAAAGCACAATACAAAACAAGTCCCCAGTGGCAATCCAGGTGGAAGATACTCATGAGTGATCAATGGCTGCAACAACAGATGAAGGCTACAGTAGGGAGGCCCCCAGTCATTGAGGTTTCCTTGCCACTGGAACTGGATCTACCTTCTGTCAATGATCATGGGTCTGCTGATGTGCAACACCATTTACATGTTAAAGGACATCCCACATGAGGCATCTACCTAAATGACCAGTGACATGGAATTTCCTAGGTGGACAAATATACTTCTGAGTGAGTGATTGCCGATGGCTGTGTGGGCAGTGTGGTGACATTCAGAAAGAAAAGTGGCTTCTTTGACTTTTCCTTTACAAGAAAGGGTAGCTTTTTGGTAGCATCCATTTTGGTGCAGGCCATAGTGTGACACATTCCTTGCTTCACTTTGCACCATAGCAAGTTTTATCTTCAAAATCAGTAAAATAGTCTGGTTTCACAACATCATAAAGATCTGTGTTTGCATTGTCATTCAGGATGTGGGTGTGACCATATTGCAACCATCTAGACTGACTTTCTGTGATTTTGCACTCTAATGCAGCCTAACTCTGGTACAATCGATGGTCACAATCGAATGAGAAACACGCACAAGTTCGGTTAATCTGCAGTTACCAGTTACTAAGTTACCAGGATTCCAGCTTATCAGGGCATCCTTCTATTGATTTCCTATTGTGTCAATGGGAATAGCTGGCAACTTTTCACACCAGGAATTTCTGGTTATCTGAATTTGACTGAACACAATTTCACTGCATGCCTAGGTCTACCTGCATGCCACCTCAAATTCAGGAAGGGTGGTAGTTTACTTTCACCATTTTTAACTGCTGTTATTATTTAATCTGGCTTTTAAATTCAGGACAGTTTTTTTTTTGGAGTGTTCTGCTAGCAAAAGGTGGAATCATTCAGGAAGAATTCATGGGAGGCTAACAATTGTAGCTGCAACAACAATATTTTTCAACCAGAAGAAGTGATTTTGGATCAAAGCAAATCAGAAAAGGTGTGTCTTTGGGAACTCTGCTTCAAAAGAGAAGCTCCAAGGGGAGTTGTACCATCTGCTAAATTTGTAAACAACATCAAATCAAGAACTACACTTCTTATAGAAGGAAGTATGTTGCAAGACAAAATCATCATGCAGTTGCATCCTTTAAGATACAACAGGGAACTGCAAACCCATCACCTGTAACAGCAATTAATAAGCACTTTTCGAGAGAACGCATCCATCTGCTAAGGCACAGAACTTGCAGCAGATGGCAGGGTTCCATAAAGTTCCACACATGTAGATGCAACTTAGCTGATTATTGGAGGTCCTACTATCCTCATTTCTCCATGAACCAAGTTTAAGGTGGTGTCTGTTATTCAAGATATGTTAAAAATGGTTTTCTTTCTACAACAGCTTGTGGTGTCTACATTTTTCAAAGGAGAGGAAATATGGGCTGATGGCTTTTAGGGAAACTGGCCTCTGCAATCTACCACATCCCAAAACCAGTCCAGCTCGTCCCCGCCTCCCTAACCTGTTCTTCCTCCCACCTATCCCCTCCTCCCATCTCAAGCCGCACCCCCATCTCCAACCTTCTAACCTCATCCCGCCCCCTTGACCTGTCCATCCTCCCTGGACTGACCTATCCCCTCCCTAACTCCCCACCTACACTCACCTTTACTGGCTCCATCCCCGCCTCTTCGACCTGTTTGTTTCCTCTCCACCTATCCTCTCCTCTATCCATCTTCTATCCGCCTCCCACTCTCTCCCTATTTATTTCAGAACCCCCTTCCTCTTCCCCTTTTCTGATGAAGGGTCTAGGCCCGAAACGTCAGCCTTCCTGCTCCTATGATGCTGCTTGGCCTGCTGTGTTCATCCAGCCCTGCACCTTGTTGTCTGTGCAATCACAGTCACTGCCCTCACCGGGAAATTGTCTTCTTCATACGCAGTCTCTCAGGATCAAAGGGAACTTGCTTCCACTTCAGTTCCATGTGTTCTCAGATGGCTGGTAAGTTCAATTGCTAATCAGCAGACCCTGCCACATTTGGCATAGGTACACTTGAAAGGGTTGGGTAGGTGATTTGTTTAGAGTTTTGTGCACTCCGCTACTTCACCACTGCGCACTCCTGATGCACTCGCTTGATATACTTGGTGCCTTCTCCAATGAGCCTTGGTCAGTCACAAACCATGGCCTTCTAGGAATCAGCAGGGATGTTTAACTTCTTCAGGGATGTTTTGACAACATCCCTGCAGCACTTCTACTATCCTTCTGAGAGACTTCTACCAGCTACTAATTCCAAGAAAAGTAGTTGCTTTTGGAGTCTGGTGTCAGGTATACAAACTGCATAAACTGCCCAACAGAGCTGCCTTTGAGTTATCAGTGCCTCAATGCTATTCACGTTGGCTTGGGAGAGAACACTACTTTTGGACCACCTTTCTTGCCACGGATTTGGAGAGTCTTGCAAAGGCGCTGCTGGTGGTGCTACTCTAATTCTTTGTGTTGCCTGCTGTAGGTTATCTAAGTTGCCAAAGCATGTAAGAGTGATTTCCAGTAATTCCCAGTGAACAATGAACTTAGTCTTAGACTCTAGGCCTGGTCTTCAAATACTGTCTTCAATACTTAGTCAGAATCACATTGAAAGCAATGATGGATTTCTTTCAGAGGAGTCTCCCAGATGCAGAAATTGGTGTATGCTTTGCTGACAGTACAGGGAATCTCTCAGAAAGAGAATGGTTTCAAGTTACAAGCAAAGCGTTATTTTGCTTTGCTCAGCCAACACATTCAAATTCAAGAAAAATGTGCCTCCAGATGTAGCATAATGAAACTGTGTACAAAAGCAGTAATAGTGAACGACGCTTGAGTTGCTGCCTCACACAAAATATCAAACTCCCAACTTGGTTCACATAATTCTTAACACGTTCAATGAAGTACATGCTCGGTCTACTTTCATGGTTTTGATGATGCCACCCCGTGTTGAAAGACAATGATGAAAGCTCCACTTAGAATGAATCATTGTCAGTGAAGTTCTGTGCAGTAATCTGTTTCTCTATCTCATCTATACTAACCATTATATGTGAGTGAAGAATATCTTAATTAGAATACTGGCATTTTTGTAGATTTTTGCAAGGAGTTGGAATGAAACATTCATTTGGATCCATTAATAGCCAAACTGACAATAGATCTGTAACAGGAATGTGCCACAGTAGAAGGCAATAAAAGATTATACTCCTGGAAGACTATTGATGCCTAGATTCTAAGTCTAGCTATGGTTGGAAGCTTCATCGATCTTTGAATCACGAAAGCAAACTCTCCAGGTCAGATCTTGTATCTAGATCTTGACTGGTGGCAGGATACAGTTACTAATTGTGGGCAGAGAGATTTCTCCACCCCAAAGATTCAGGTTCACCCTGTCCACTCTTTCACTCTTCTGGGTAGCTCTCCAACATCTTCTTAAGGGCATTTAGGGATGGGCAACCAGCAATTCCCAAATCCCATGAACGAATTCAAAGAACTCTGCCTTTCTTAGCCGAGCAGATAAGAGGGACTGATTTCCTCACTGATAAATGGAAAGTCATAAAGGTCTCACGCCTATTTCTCCTGTTACCCAGCAAACTATATCTTGCATGCACACTACTCCAAGGGACCTAGCTGACAGCATTGACTCAGTCAGTAGCCCCCCCCAACCCACCCACTCTGGGCAGTTTCAACCTATGCTTCCACTGGAGAATGCCCTTTAGTGACAAATAGAAACACCTCCCATTAGTTGGCTTCCTGTTTCAGTACACTAAATATTTAATATTGAAAGAATACTTGACTCCACTGTGCTATTGTGACCCACGTTCTACCTCTACAATGACCTCCCCATTAACAATGAATCACAGTTCTTTAAAATATGCCATTATATGTAACTAATACTCCTCAGCCTGCTTCTATGGGTAAATCTTTCACATGGAAGCAAATTATTGAAATGAGGGGGAGAAACTCACATCATAGAACCCAGCATGTCTTCTTTTTGAGCTGCTAGTACAGGACTGTTGGAAGTCTCACAACATCAGTGTTTTACAGTTGAAATCTTAGCTAAAATCATTTGCTTGGTTCAATAGATGCAACAAAGAACAGCAGACCAATATAGTGTCCAACGGAGAGGATCAATTTGCAAGGTTCTACTTTGAGGCATTTCGCTTCACTGAGCATCAAAAACTGCCTGTCTCTACCTTCTTTCTACACTGTGCAACACGTCTCTGTGCAAAAGCTGCTTGCAGTGACTTTTATGTAAGTACAGGACATACATATATATATAGATTTTTATTAAAACTGAAACTAATATTCCAAGAGTTCTGCTCTACTCACCAAATTACAATATCTGGAACAGAAAACATGAGCCAAATTCCCAAATTGCATGGACAAGATAATTATCTAATCTAAACAGATGACTGCTCCATGAGCAATCCTTACTGCTGCACAATTTGTTGTATGAGATTGTCTATACTACTGCTTTCTACAGGGTAGGTTTGCTGCCACCATTCTCTTGTAAGGTAGGGGTCTACCTGGCCTAACGTGATAATGGAAAACCAATTCCTTGTTGAATAAGAAGAGGCTGTTGTCTCAAGAGGTGTCCAGAGGTGAGGTGAGAGTGACAGCCGCTGACATCAATGCTGCATTTGACAAAGGGTGGCGTCAAAGTGTCCTAGAAGAATTGGAAGTCAATGGGAATCAGGGGAAAACTTTCCAACGGTTGGAGTCACACCTGGTGTTTCGGAAGATGGCTGTAGTTGCTGAAGGCCAGGCAGTTCAGGCCCAGGACATCTCAGTAGGAGTTCCTCAGGGTAGTGTCTGAGCCCCAACCATCTTCAGCGGCTTCATCAATGACCTTCCCTCTATCATAAGATCAGAAGTGGGGATGTTCAATAATGATTGCACAGTGTTCAACACCATTCATGACTCCTCAGATACTGAAGCAGTCCATGTACATATGCAACAAGATCAGGACAATATCCAGACTTGGACTGAAAAGTGGCAAATAACTTTCACACCACACAAATGTCAAGCAAAGACCATCTCCATTAAGAGAGAATTTAACCACCGCCTCTTGACATTCAATGACATTATCATCATGAATCCCCCACTATCAACAACCTGAAGTCACTATTGAATAGAAACTGAATGGACTAGCCATCTAAACAGAGTCGCTACAAGCGCAGGTCAGAGGCTAGAAACCCTTCCGCAAGTAACACACCTCCTGACTCCTCAAAGCCTGTCTACCATCTACAAGGCACAAGTCAGGAGTGTGATGGAATAATGCCAATGTGCCTGAATGAGCACAGTTTCAACAACGTTCAAGAATCTTGACACTATTCAGGACAAAGCATCCTGTTTGATTGGCACCACATCCGCAAATACTCAGTCACATCACCACCCACATTCAGTGGCAGCAGTGTGTACCATCTACCAGACGTCAGAAATTTGCCAATACTCCTTAGGCAGTTCCTTCCAAATCCACAATCCCTTCCATCCAGTAGGCCAAGGGCAGCAGATACACGAGAACATTACTACCTGCAATTTTCCCTCCAAGCTGCTCAGCATCCTGACTTAGAAATATATCACCATTCCTTCATTGTCATTGGGTCAAATTCTTGGAATTTCCTTCCTAAGGGTATTGTGGGTCTACCTCCAGCATACAAAATCCAGTGCTTCAAGAAGGCAGCTCATCACCACCTCTTCAAGGGCAACATGGACAGGTATTAAATGCTGGCCAGTCAGCAGTGCCCATTACCCACCAGTGAAAAAAAAATGTTAATTATTACATGCTAGCAACTGGCCATAAGTAACTGTTGTGATGGACATTGTTACAGAAACTATATGGAGGACTTGGATGATGGGTCTTATTCCCAAGCTGTTCTCTATATGACATCAACATACTAAATGGTGTTTAAGGCATGCCTCAGTATTAACCCTTTTAGATCTATATATTCTTATAAATCAATGACCTGCATCTTTATCAAAAATACTTTATTCATATCTGTAACCTATTTGTAACTGAAGATTAAATAGTAAATTTATGGAAGAAAGTGATATTTATTTCTTCTTATTATTTCTTCAACTGTTGGTTACACAAAACTTAATTTTTTATCAGGTTGTCTTTGTGCTTCATCTTTAGCAATGCAAAAGAAGAAAAAGAGAAGCACCATTAATAGTCAGTACTCCATTACCAGATGAAGTGTCTGATCCTTCAGTAATTAGTTCTGAAGAAATCAAGACCAGGAATGATAATGGTAGGCATTCTTTAATTCAATTTAATTTAATATATACATAAAATAATAGGTAAGAATAAACAATAAAAGTTTGCCTGCTATCATAAAGCAAGGGAATAAGCAGGTAAATAATAAGACCAATTGTTATTGGACTGTTTTCCCTGATCTTCTCCAACAGTTGGAGCTAGTTTTAATGGGACCGTGAGTATATGTTAATATAATTGATGTATTTTGAATTTGTATGACATTCACTTTGGTTTTGACCTAAACTAGTTGCAAATCAAAATATTGAGTGATTTCAATCACAATGTTGAGACACTTTCAACTTGTCTTCACTATCTTCACTGGAATTCAATTATCTTCAGTTAGCAATGACATTCAATGGCTCTGAATCTGGTAGGAGCACATTGTCACAGCAGGTTAATTTTGATTTTCTGGTTGATCACATATACTTCTGTTGTAGAGACAGCTGCCATTTTGAGACACAGTTATTTTGAGTGACAGTCATATTAGCACCACACTCCCTACCAACCACTCCAACCTGCCCGGTACCCTCCGTAACCATAAAAGATACAACACCTGCCCACACACTACCTCCCTTACCTCCATTCAAGGCCCTAAACAGCCCTTCCAAGTGAAACAGAGCTTCACTTGCATCTCCTCCAACTTAGTCTCATGTATGTGGTCTTCTCTACATCGGTGAGACCAAACGTAGACTAGGTGACTGTTTCGCCGAGCATCTTCACCTAGCCCGAAACGGCCAGCCTAACCTCCTGGTCACTGCCCATTTCAACTCCCCACCCCACCCCCTCTCCAACATGTCCGTCCTTGGCTTCCTCCAGTGTCGCAGCAACTCAGAACACAAATTTGAGGAACAACACCTTACCTTCCACCTGGGCACCCTACAGCCCACAGGACTCAACACTGAATTTTCCAATTTCAAATAACCTTCCCACCCATCCCCGCCTCCCCTTCCAGCCCAACCTCCTCCCTTCCATTCCACCTTCTGACCCTCCCTACCAACCGTATTTATCCCTCCCATCGACCAACCAGGTTGTACTTACCACCAGTGTCTACCTATCACCACCATTCCACCTCCACCCTCCCCTCTTTATCTGCAGCTCCCCCTACCCCCACGTCCTGTCCTGAAGAAGGGTAATACTCAAAACGTTGACTGCTCCTTTCCTCCAGAAGCTGCCTGGCCTGGTGTACTCTTCCAGCCTACCTTGGATTTCAGCATCAGCAGTTTTTTTGGCTCTAGCACTGAGCCAGCAAGGTACAGGATGACAAACCTCCAGAAATCTCTTCCCATGTGCTCCTAACCCAACATCACTCCACCCATTCCCTCCCTCAAAATCTTCTTGTTTACTGCCCTTCCAGTAATTAGATAGCCAAACTTTCTCCATTTCCATATTCTGCTCTGCACTGAGAAACGTCTCATCTGTATTGATTTCAAACTTGATCTGAATTTTCTTGTCTGCTTACATCTGATTTTCTTTCACTCCTATGATCTTTCTCATTCTATACATTAACACTGATCTCTATCAGCGGCCCACTAAATCTTGATATGTTAAACACCTCAATTTTAGATAAAAGCATCTTAAATAATATGTTTACTACGCCTGGTATCCACATTGTCCTGTCTATTTTAGGTCAGTCTACTATCAGTCTCTGTCCCTCCAACCTCAGTCTTTTCCAATACTCAAATTCCTCTCCTCTGACCTCCTATTGATTTCAACACACATGTTACAATCAACTTGTTCAATAGTTCCCTTTCTGCATGTTATGGATCCTAATGCAGAAAACACATCTTTTATAATGCCATTTCATCCTATCTCTGTATAGTTACATTGGATACTCTACAGTCTTCACTGTTCCCTTCCTTATTCCCCGATTTCATAGACTGTCCTTTCACATCATTCATAGATTGTGGGGCTTCTTTTACGTGTAAGCTGGCAACACCCTAGTTTATGTCTCTATATCTATTGCAAATGGCTTAGCTGCTACTGCTGTGCACATCTGATTTGTTTTCACAGGTAGGCCTTCTAGCTATTTCATTTTCCACTATTTATTTCCTATCATGTTTTCACTGCACTACAAAAGCAAATCCTCAAATATCTGGTGGAAAATCACTATACTGGAAATCTAGATTTGCGTTCTGATCAGCTTCCATCCCTAAAAATTTTTTTCTTGACAATGATTTTCACCCTGTGCTTCCTTCCATAATAACTTCATTCAGCAAAAAAAAAACCCAAAGAACTGCGAATGCTGGAAATCAGAAACAAAATCAGAAATTACTGGAAAAACTCAGCAGGTCTGGCAACATCTATGTTCTGAAGAAGGGTCACTGAACTCAAAACGTTAATTCTGCTTTCTCTCCATAGATGCTGCCAGACCTTTGACTTTTTCCAGCAATTTCTGTTTTCCTTCGTGTTAATAATTGCATTTGTTGGACTTGTACTGACACACAGTGATTTTATTGGTATATGTGTGTGTGTGGGTGTGTGTTGTTTTTAGAGGAAGTAATACGCGACTTTGTTCATACAATGCGATGGATGAAGATGGATCATTCCCATCACAGGGAGAACTGAACCATTATGGAAGGCCAATCTTCCATTATGTTTAGTTTTAGAATTTAACTCTAATATTTCAGTCAAAGCAAATGTGGAAATCTAATGAACAAATTGTAGCTAATATTTGCTTACAATGTTTTTTTAAAATTTCTGTCCACAGTGGTGAACACAAATGATAATTCAGGTAAGAAAAATGACTGTTAGAGGCACTTTTATTTATTTGCTAAGGTATTTCCAAAAAATTAAGAAAACAAGAGAGAGGATGGCAGAGGGCAAATATTAATGTAGGGTTGAGTACATGACTTAATTGCGGTTTCACAACCAGTGGACCTTGGCGAGCATAAGGTAATTTCCCATTGAAATTTGCGAGCATTTATTGTCAACATACTCTCAAGCAGGAACACTATCTCATGACCACCCAATCTCACTACTGTGAATATATGAATGTTGTGAACAATTCTTCATAAGAATTGAAAAATATGCAACATCAAGTATTCACTTCCGTTCAGGATCTTCTTTGTATTCTTAAAGATAGCCAGTGACCAGTTGATATAGTGTCCAAAAATATTACCTGGATATGAATTTTTACTTTCCATTGGTATCTTCTTGGATTCATTGGTGCCATAAGTGATTGGTGTGTATTATTTTTTATGGGACCCACATATGACCAACACAGATCTATGCCTATTTGCACAACAGTATAATGCGGGGATATAACAATACAAATGTAATGTGATCTGAACTGATATCCATGACTTTCATATGAATATTTCTTCAATCTCTTCAAGGACAAATAGCAAATAATAATGGCAAGAAGCTTTATGCTAATCAATATGCTGCTTGATTTCACAGTTACATGAACATAAATCTAGATCTACAGAACCCACAAAGCAGACAATACAATTTGTCTTCACTCAACGATACAAAGCAAAAGACCAGGCCATCATGTTTCTTCATTAGAGTCAGCCATTTTAACCTGACTCAAACAAGATACCTTCTGATTGTTTCTTCAGTAATCATAACCCTTAGACTCAATCAAAACCTTGCTAGCTTTCTTTTCAGAATTCTCAAAAAACAATTCTGCCATCCTGCATCACAACTTGAATTTTGAATTTATCCATTCAAATAAAAAATGTAGTAAAGATTTTCTAAGTAAATATGGTCATCGTGTTTTACAACTACTGAGAAGGACTAATGAATTGCTTTTCTAATTTTTGAGAAAATAACAACAAAACCAGGTAGCGAGTAAGCATATCATGTCTAAATATCTATCACCCAATCTTTTTTAACTTGACTGAATAAATTGAGCTTTAGAAAATTTGAAAATTAACATTTAATTCCCTTCTTCTTTATGTGAAAATCCAGAACATGAAAATAACACACTATCAGTCATGACGTGATGAATTTATTTTGGAAGTGCCCAGATCACACCAGAGGAAACCAAATTCAAAAATTAAGAAAAAAATCATTATTTCATTTCTCAGGGCTTCCAATTTTTTTCCCACTGCCACCACCACCAGCCTCTCCCCGCTGCCCCTGAAATGAAAACTTGGGCTCATGCTGTGATGGTGGCAACCCTTTCGTGCCTCTTTTGAATATCTATTGCACATATATATCTTCTAGATAATGAATGTTGGCAAAATATTCAAATTAGTAGGCATCACAGTTGAGTCCATTCTTGACCTTATTTGATATCTGCACACATATACTGATGTCACTGGATGGTAAGTTCTGCCTTATTTCTTCCCCACCCCTTGGTCTATTCTGATGGCAATGTACTAATGATAACAATTCTAATAACAGTTGAAATATTCAAAAGAAGACTGATATTTGAAAAGGAAGAAATGGGCAGAGTTACACAGGGGAAGGCAGAAGATTGACACTAAGTTAACTACACATTTGGAAGGCCCGTGCAGACACAATGGGCCCAATAGCTTCCTTCTGCACTGTAAAAATTCTGTGATTCTGCAACATCCTAATCAAGTTTTGATTCAATGTTCATTGCTAGATCATTAAGTTGCTGTTAACTCACTGTTTGAGTATTACAAACAATTAGACCATCATATTTCTTACGCATTGTTTAACATAATCATTCTTTTTCCCTCCAGCATCAACCTTAGCTACTCAAGAAGCTATAGGGGTATGTACTGGACTGGGCATTGGATTGGGAATCGTAGCTGTCATCTGTCTTGCCTTGATTGCAGGAGGTGTACTAGTCTACCGAAATTTTCAGAAGAAAAGCATCTTAACCTAGGTTGGAAAACCCACAAAGAAAAAACAAAAATAATCAATTTCCATTAACTGAAGATTTTGTACAACATTCAGGCTTTCAATATTGCTTGCTAAAGTAGTTATGCTGAGCCTTATTTAATCTTGCCGATGAATACAAGGCATATTTTGTGGTGTGTAGCAACACAGATTTTTAAAATGTCACTTGTAATGAGAATGTTTTGTGTTTGTATTCGTTTTAATTGCACCTATGCAGGGATTTTATGTTGATGTATGGAAGAGATGAGCAGCTGCATTTAGTAGTTAAAGTGAATAGAGCCTATCTGTGTAGAGTCATTAAATTCACATCAAGAAAAGGTATAAAGTAAAATGCACCAAAATATTGGCTCAAAATTACTCTTAAATGATTTAAATATTTCATTCAAATATGGTTATTCAATCAGATTGCTAAAATTACTGCTTTTCAACATTACTATTTCTGAGCTACAGCAGTGCCTCGTGCCTATTGTTACCGAATTTTGACTTTTTGGGATACCTTGGAAAAGGAAGGCAGAGACAGAGCAATGTTTTGAGGTAGACGGGTAAAAGTGTAAATTAGTACAAGTATGATTTCCATACAATTTAGCTGAAATTGTATTGATACAGAATGAAAATTAAAATCAAAGCTATCTGATGGCTTAAAGTGTATACAGCTCAGTTTGGTATTGAGTCAAATGAACAAGGAAGGTCCCACGTTTAAACTCTAGTCTATGGTGTTGTAGCTGAGCTCAACCTGGATGTGAATTTGGACCAGCAGAGATGACAATAGTGGTGGCCCAGGACTTAGCAGAGGAAAATCAGCAAGACAACCTACAGTCGATTGCTGTTCCTGAGTGGATGTGAGGTTAATACAGCAGTCGATTCTCCCTGAGTGAACAGGCCAGCAGGGTTCACTATCTCACTTCACTCATGAAGAATAGCCCCTTTCTTGGTATACCATAGAACCTACTCGAACATGATTCATGACCTTCAGAGGGAAAAAAAGACAGCGAACATTTGACGGGAGAAAGAGAAAGATATCGGACTAAAGAAAAAAATCGGAGCCTTTAACTCTTTGAGGGTGAATATCCATTAACTATAACAAAAGCACAAATTCATTTTAACTCTTCTCTTGTTCAGCAGTTTGCCTATTGAAGCTAAATCTTGATGCATTTGTATCGTTCTGAACTAATTTGCTAATATGAAACAATTTTTGGAATCAGTAAACTCCAGGAAAAACCTGCTATTAAATTACACATTGTTGGTCACTGTAGTAGTAAGGATTTGAACTTTGTGCCTGTGAAGAGATACAACTGATTTCCTGGTTTTTGCCACACCCAGATCATCCCTTGTGTCCTGGTGCAGACCCTGGAATATCTCCACTTCTGTGTTTCCAAGATCATGGACTCAAGTAGAAGTAAATTCTGTTAAATTCTAATTTTTGGGAAATGTTTAGAGTGAAACGCAAATAAGAACCTTTAGAAAAAGAAAAAAAGCAATTTGACTCAAAATAGATAGAACTGCATTCTCACTGCATTCTTCAACCAATTCTCTCTGTAGAACCACATCACTTAAACTTTCTGAGTCCATTTATGTTTACTCCTCTAATACTTATCTTTTATTCTTACCCACCATGAAGTGCAACTGCTATCTAAAAGGTTTAAATCCATCTAACTCAGCAGCATTTTTCCTCATTATGCAATCAATGCCTTATCAGACATCATTGTATGGTGAGAGTCCCTGTGGAGTCTCACAGAGGTTTGGATCTGTGCTCTGGGCAGAAAAGGAATGAGTGACAATACCAGTTAGTGTGTTCAAATAACAATTTTATTGAAAATAATAACAACAGTAAGAATAACATTACAACCAGATAATAATACATGATAATATAAAAGGAATAATAAATAAGTAAAGGTAACCAAGGATGGGAAAGAAAGTATATATTAGAAGAAAGGAAGAACAAACAGTAATCCCAAATTGGTCTTCCCAAAATGGTAAAACCCAAGTTAGTCTGTTCACAATAGATTCTTACAATGGTAAAATAATCTTTGGTATACATATCACCAAATCTCTAAATAAATTCACACAGGAATGGAGTTTATGGTCAGTCTCCTTAACAATTGTCCTTCTATGAAGTAATGCTTAACGTTTAAACTCTGTTTCTCTTACTACTTTGTACCAACATTTTCTGTACATAGGTGCCTTGGTACCTAAGATAGTGCCTTATGTGACAACATTATACACTTTTCACTATACCCCTGTACTTCTGTACTTGAGGACACGTAACAATAAAATCTAAATCTAATCTAAATCTAACCTTTCTCCTTTCATCTTCAGTGGTTGTTTGAACTACATGTCTGCAGCTGTAGAAGCAGTGTTCCTTAAAACTTAATTTCCAGTTTCATTCTAATTGTTCGTGGCCCTGTTCACACTTTCCCAAACTAAAGGATTTTATCAATTCTTTCTCATGGATTTGCCAGGTGGGTAAGGTGGTACAGGGTAGGAGAGCTAAGGGAGTAGGCTGGCAGAGGGTTGCAGAGTAAAGTAATGAACGGGCAAGTGTGCCAGGTAAGAGCGCAGGGTGTCAGGTTGGTAACAGTGTAGGGTGCCATATGCATGAGAAGATAGAGTGCCAGGTAGGAGAGGGGTGGTATGCCAGGTAGACGAGTTGATGGAGTCCCAGCTAGGTAAAGATGGAGGGTGCCAGATGGTTGGGGTGACCACTATGTTAGAAGGTATCTTGACAATGGGTGAAAGGGTAGTGTAACAGGCAGAATTGGGTTAAGGTGCCAGATGGGTGACCAGGTGGTGTGGCAGATGAGAAAGGGTGAAGCGTGGTAGCTGGTTGAGCTAGCAGAGTGCAAAGTATGTGAAGAGGTAGCGTGCCACATTGGTAAGGAGGTAAGGTGGCATGTGGGTGTTGGATAGGCTGCCAGGTGGGACGAGGGTGTAGTGTGGCAGGTAAGTGGATGAGAGATTAAGGAGGGCCGGGGGCTGTAATGTCATAGATGGAGTGATTTGGGACTGCTGAGCCAGTTCTTGTCAGGTGGGTAGGTAGAGTCTGAGCTAGGAGCGAAGGGTCAGTGTGGAGGGTTTAGTTGGAGGCGGGTTACCAGACCAGGCATTGGTTGGGGAAGTTATATTTTAGGGATGGGGGAGTGTCAGGTGTCATTGGAACATCGAGAGTCAGGAGAGGGGTTCGGTCCAGAGGTGGATGACTCTGGTGTTCACAGTGGCTCAGGGAGTCAGGGATCAGGTTGGATTCCTAGGGGAATTAACATGGTAGGTGCAGAAATGTTGTTTCTGCTTGTGAGAGAGTCTGGGACCAAAGGACATAATCTCAGAATAAGGGGTTGCACATTTAAGACAAAGATGAGGAAGAATCTCTTCTTTAGGAAGGTACTGAATCTGTGGAATTCTTTACTGCAGAGAGCTGTCAAGGGTTGGGTCATTATATATATTCAAGGCTGAAATAGACAGATTCTTAATCAATAAGGGAGTTAAGGGGAGAAGCCAAGAACGTGGAGTTGAGGATCTTCAGAGTAATCATAATCTCACTGAATGGCAGAGCAGACTTGATGAGCTGTTTGTATTGCTACTACTCCTACGTCTTATGGTCTTTTGTCCAGGAGGGGGAAGAGAATGTGATGTCCTGTTGCGGGGGGGAGGGAGGGGGGGTATGGAACAGTGTTAGAGGAGTGGTCAGTGGTCACTCAGGATACTTGGTTTTATTTGTTAACCCAGAGATTTTTGTTTGGAGAATCCCAGAGAACTAGAGTTTCAACTTCCCCATACAGTTCTTGGAGAGTCACCTGCATTATGCCTGTCCCAGAGTCCTGAGGAACATCTTGGTTTCTGCTACATCAGAAGATCTGGGCCATTATTTTGAAGAGGAGTTGGAGAAATTCCACATCCTCATCCCACATCGCTAAAATAGATGACCTGTTCAGTATGACATCGCCATTTGCAAAACCTTGACATGAACAAATTACCTGCGCTTTTCCTGCTTTCCATCAGTGACTACATTTCATGAAGTACTTCGGTGGCTTTCAAGTGCTTGAAACTCAGATGACCTGAGCTGGTGAGAAGCACAAGACTTTTGGCTGAATATTTAACTTTTTTTTTGGTTAAGTGTCAGTTTTGTCACGTGTCATGCCCATGTCATATTAAAAAGACCACAGTGCACGCAGAGGAGCAATGGTACTCCGAAGCTGCTCAGCTGAGTAACGGACAGTCGTTCCAAAGATGTTGGAGAAGGGGAAAATAGCACTGCAACTCTTCAACAGGAGACGCTGGTAGACGGGAAGGACCATCCTCTTCCCCAAGTACCGGCAGAGAAGGTCACACCAACAGATGCCAGCAGCCTGGTACAAGGTCACTATCCGGGTCAGTGCTTTATGTACAGTACAGTGAAATGGCCAACAGTGATGCAAGAAAATCAATGACCATCTCCACTCTACAAGGGTAAGTGTGTACTCTTCTCTTTCCTACCTCACACTCACTCTACTACTGCACTGAACACTCCACCAAGGCTCACGCTCTGCCACTCTCACAATTGCCTGTAACATTTCCCCTCACTTTCTGTCACTCCGCACCAACCCCTCTGCTTCCCCACAACATCCCAAACCCGTTCTCGTCACACCATACGTCCACATCGGCTCTGCACCACCTACTCACTCACTTAAAAACATCAATGCCTTTCAACCAGTTGCATCAGCGTTAACAGCTGTGCCAGTCACTTTCATTTCAACCCTTCCTTCCCGTTCTCCCATTACAAGAAAAAACAGCCCATAACAGGGCAGAAAGAGCCACGATGGATTGAAGGGATGCCCAGCAATAGGCTTTTCACCCACCGAGGGGAGAATGTTGTGCCTCACAGGAGAAGATCAGGATACCACCATTTTGGCTGGGATGCTGAAATATCTATGTTTCACCAACCAAGTAAGTACCACTCTTCATTCCACTGCAACTCTCACATTAGCCCTGCTATACTCTTTACTATTGGCT